TCCGGGTGTTGTTTGGGTTTCTGCTGGGCTCTTCACGGACCGCGTGGCGGCTCTTTGCTGTCTTGGTTGGTTGGTTCGGTTTTTCCGGGTGTTGTTTGGGTTTCTGCTCGTTGACTCTTTGAGGCCTCTGCTTCCGCAGGGCTGAAAAAACGCCAAAGTCCGTAACGGTAGATACTCTGTTTGAGGACAAGTCGTATCTGTTTCGAGGGCTATGCGATGAGAAAATAGGCAGTCTGTGGAGAGATGTGCAAAGGCCTGTCCCTCGAGTGGAGCAGATTTTTTGATAAAAAGACTCTGGAGCAATTCATTGATCTCAAGAAGGGGGTGCTGTTCTCACCTTCGTACTTGCCTTGACTAAAATCCTCTTTTCTTTACCAGACTCATCCTCTTTGGAAATATTCTGGATCTTACGACCTGCCGTGTCCCTTCTTTCTTCCCTTTTTCTCACTCTTACCACTCATTGTGCATCAACTAGACGCTTCTTGAGATTCTTGAGTATAATCACTCTACGGCGCTCTGCCCTCAACTACGAACGTGGCAACTACGTCCTTTTAGTGTTTGTAAACTACAGCCAACATTTTTGCCACTAGTACAAGTGCGGTAGCACATAGCATTGCTCCCTTTATTTTGTAGTCATAAACTACAATCAACCGCAACCTTTTTACCACAAGATGGGCAAGATGTCGCTGATGAAGCTCAACACCTTGGGCGGTTCGCACTACCCTAGTACGATCAACGGCACGAAGCATGATCGTGTGCAACTCTTCAATGAGGTGAAGTTAAGGCTCCTATCCTTAATAAGACTCTACCCTTAGATAGTTGCTAACTCATCGCGCTGTAAACAATGGATGATCCTAATTCAGCATCTTGGGCAAACAATATTAGACATCTAAAGCTCGCTTTAGCTGCTGTTCATTTTTGGTGGAATGATGGAATGAGCAAAAAACTTAGGTAAGTGCCAGCATTTTCATGTCTTATCGTCGTGTTTCACTCTCTTCCACCTGTATTACATAATTACACTAAAAAATGAAAACCGTTATATTGTTTGCCCAAGATGCTGGATTAGCATCATCAAACTTTGAACTCAAAATTTCAATGAAGTACTTTCTTAGATGTTTTCCTCTCCTGCCATGGGGAGATCACGTCGAAGGCGTCAAAGAAATCAACATAGATTGAGATGATGAATTAAAATCAAGATCTGTAAAAAGGGTTTAATAGGGTCGTTAAGAATTAAGATGTGTAAGCGTACTTGCACTGACGATGAGATGTGTAATGCTTTGATCAATGCACACGTTTGCTTATAAGGAAAAGAAGCCTCTTCCTGCTTAGAGACCTTCCTCCTGCTTAGCTTCCTTGATTTTGCTTCAGGTACTTAGAAACCTCCTCCTCCTCCTCTAATCAATGCTTTCGGACGCAAGGGCGTTTGCTCTGAGCACACTGCTACGAAGATCTGGAAGGATGTGTGTGATGGCCCGCCTCTTCCGACCTCAACCGAGATCCGCTGTACTCTCAAATATTTATGGCCAAACAACTACTAAATCAGAATCACTCTTAGCTAAAAGCATCGTTTCATCATACGACAGAAATATGATTAAGTACTACAATAGAATATGTAGTGTTTCACGTCAAACTAGAGCAGATGGTGTGATTACTACTACCTCAACTGCTATGTATTTTGTCACCAATTGATTCATGAATTGACAATCTATTCGGGAAAAAGTACACAATTCGACTCCATTGCACTAAGTGCTATAGTAGTGGCATGTTGTACTAACACAAAAAATAGCAACACAAATATGATATTCGAATATCCTCTTTCCACAATTATTGCATGTCAAGGATATTATCCTCGTTCAGGAGTCTCACACAACACAAATGCAAATACCTCGTCCACGCACACAACTACAAACATTTATATCCTCTTTCATACTCCGGCTTGCGCACTTACAACAAGTACTCATCTCCGGGAGCTCGCGGTTTTTTGATGGGCAAGATTGGAGGTGGAGATGGCGGCGGTCGCTCCATGCAGATGAAGGCTTCCAGAGCATCCTCCACGAAGATGAAGGTGATTCCCATGTCGAAGAAGGTGATGTCCATGTCGAAGAATGTAAAGATGATGCCCATGAAGATGAAGACGATGCCCATCCTGAAGAAGATGAAGGTGAAGCCCATGAAGATGAAGATGACCTCCTCAAAGATGAAAAAGGTAAAAATAACTTGAACTTGTTCTATGTCGTAAGTAATACGGAAATTACGGGTACGGATTGGCATTAGAAGTCTCCTGGTTGGTTAATAATCACATTGTTATATTATGCTAGTTTTAGCAAAAGCAAAAAAGTCGAGATAGAGAAGCTATAGTAAATACGTATACAATTTGAAGGTACTGGTGCAGCTGGTGGCCACATTAGATGGGATGACAGTCTGATCGTCGTGAAGAAGTAGAAGATGAAACTGATGTACGCGTAGTCAAGTAAGTAGTTAAGTCGTTGCTTCGACAACTCTGTACGTGTAGTCACCTCTTCTTCTCATACAGGTAATGAAGTCCGGCATGAAGCTGAAGATGTCTATGAAGTTGAGGATGGCTATGAAGGCCGCACCCGCTCCGGTCGTCGTCCCGTTGGTATGAGTCTCCTTTTCTATTCGGTTGCTTTTGGGTTAACTCCTTTGGTTAGGGTCGTTGCTCCTTGGGTGAGAGGGCTATATAATATTGTGATGAAGTGTCGAATCGGGCGAAAGAAAGCATGATGTCGGTCTCGCCTGTTGTAACTACTTTTGTGTTTTTGGGCAACAACTACACTATCGTGATCATGTCCACAACAATAATCACACTATCGTGATCATGTCCATGTCTCGTGATCGTACAGGGAGACCCAAACTGAATGAAATGAATGAATGATCGTGTCATTATACTCTCAGGTCGTTGCCCCGATGAAGCCTGTCCCGATGCAGATGATGTCTACGAAGATCTCTGCCCCGATCAAGTCCGCTCTGATGAACGTTGCTCCAATCAAGATGATGCCGCTGAAGATCGCTGTTCCGCTGAGGGTTGCCCCTAAAAAGGTTGCCCCGATGCAGACCTTCCCGCTCAAGGTTGCTCCGATCAAGATGATGGCCATCCAGGTCGCTGCTCCGAAGCAGGTTGCTTCGATGGAGATGGCTGCCCCACTGAAGGCTGCCCCGATGTTGAAGCTGATGCCGATGAAGATCGCTGCTCCGATGAAGATGGGGGCGATGTCTATGAAGATGGCAGCTCCGAGCCCGATGGAGGCCGCTCCGGTGACAGCGGCTGCTCCGCTGAATGCCTCCCCGATGAAAGTAGTGTCTACTATGAAGATAGAAGTTGCTCCAAGGAGTGACTCCCCGATGAAAATGGAGGCCATTAAGACGGTTGCTCCGATGCCAGTGAAGGAAACCTTGATGGAGGCTCCTCAGATGCGGATGGCTGCTCCAATGGCAATGCAGGCTGACGCTGACCCATTGAAGAAGCCCCTCAAGGATGGCCACGCAGATGGTGATCGCAGCCTTTCCCTCATTTAAGGCCACACTAAATCTCTTCAGTACCTACTGGCATAAATCAACAGAGGTCGGCTGTTCTTCTTTCTTAGAAGAAAGGACGCGATCACCCAAGAGTCCTTCTTGTGACTTTTCTCCTCGTCAATTTGTAATCCGATCTAGAAGTTGTACACATGATGTAAAATAACCTTTTTTTCTTATTTTCCTTATTCCCTAGTAGCTGCTTGGTGCTTAATTTGTACAATAACTATAGCCTTTTACACTTCCCTTATCCCCTACGCCTACTTGTTTCTCTTGTCCCTTTTCCTCCTTTATCCTTATTCCCTACTTCCCTTATCTTGGTCCCTTACTTTCCCTATCCTTATTCCCTACTTCCCTAGAAAATGTCCCTTCGACGTATCCTTTACGCCCTGACTGTTCCTAGAGCTTGTTCCCCTCCTCATCATCAGTGAGCTGCCCCTCCTCATCCTCTTTCCCTTCTAATTTCTGGAGCCGCGAAGGAATCTCTTGGAGAGTGTCACTCCCGCGAAGGATGACGGGCCACCGCCAGAATGGGGACTGGCCACGCCGGGGGCCCCCGCAACTCCCGCAACGCCGTGCATATCGTGCAGGCCTTGTCGAATTGCGCCTCCTGTTAGCAAGCTGCTGGCGTTCGAGCATCCGGCGGTAAAGCAGGCGGAGCATGATCCGGATGGGTCTGCCGCTTGCCGACGTATGAAAGAGCTGGAGCGTGCAAACAGCGAACTGCAACAGCAAGTGAGTGCTCTGCGCTCAGAGTTGGCCACCGCGCGAGGCGACGCCGCTGACAGCCTCAAAAAGGTGCGGGACGAGTCTGCGCGAAATTTGGCGGAGAAAGCTATCGAGGCTTCATTCTACAGAGAGCGACTCGGTGCTGTCGCGAAGCAGATCGTAGAAGCGCAGGAAGAGACTGCGCAAGAGCGCGCGGAGTGGGAACGTGAAAGGCGGAGGCTTCTGAATTCTCTCGGTGCTGCTTCATCCTCGGCGCCGTCAGTAGCCCCCATCCGCATCTTGCCTCCCGCTGTGGAAGGCCCGCGGGCATCTGGCCCAATGCCAATCCGCATCCTCCCGCCCGCTGCGGAAAGGCTGCGCCTGACGGTAAAGCAAGAAGATGCAGGCCAAGAAACGGGGCCGGTGGCGGAGAACCTGAGGACGCCCGTCAAGGGAGGGCCAGCGCATGGACGTAGGCCCAGCCAGACGCCCTCGTGGCTTGAGGACACCGACGCCGCCGGCAGTTCTCTGGAGCTCAGCGCCTCGTGGTGTTTGTCGTCGCCTGGTCGTTCGGAGCCGGATCTGTGTTGTAGCAGACTGCTCACCTTCGACCTGGAGCCTCGGCACTCGGTCTGTTCGACAACCGCGTCGGAAACGGAAGAAGCTGGCTGGGCTACTGTCCACCGGGTCCCAAGCAGGAGGGTGGCGGCGCTCATCCGCAAGGCGCGGCGGTGCGTGGCGGATCGAGTTCTTTCATGAGTATGAGGATGAGACGAAGACGGGGATCAGGATCGAGCTGGGCTCTTTCCTTTCGTGCTCGGTGGCATGGCTTTCAGGCCGCGCGTGGTGGCTCACCTCTCGGCCTTGCTCGGAGGCTCTATGGTATTACGGAGGAAGGCAGCGGCGTTGGAGAATGATGCTGAGGGCGGGATGCTTTGCGTGGCTATGTTTCTCTGGCAGTGCCCCCATCTCGGGCAGTCGCGGCACCTGGCCACCGATCGGGATGGAGCCTCGTGAGTTTTTCTGCAAGATCTACCGGCGCACGTGTGGCCGCCACCTGACTGATATTGAGAAGCATGGCGGCGACAAACTCGGCCACTTTGTCACGCGGGTCGCCGCGTGGGCGTGACCGCACAAGAGCAGTAATCGAGGAAAGTTGCCGCAACCACTCGACGCGCAACCACCCATGGGGGGGCATGTTGTTCGGACACTCAGCAGGCGAGGCTCTGTCTGTGAGGTAAGCACGATGATGATCCACTCTGTCTTAAACATGCACGCACCTTGGTCCACCCCACATTCGCGCACTTTGAGAACTATCTTCAGTCATCTTCATGCTATTACACGATCTATATCTACTTACAGATATGTCATCTACAGCTTTTCCATGTAGTTGACGTTCGCTAAATTACTATTCACAACTTCTACTTATAAAAACTTCCAGGTACACTGATCGCTGCTTGACACTTGAGGAAACCATGACTGTCGCGTACTATCGAAGTTTGTGCGGGGCTTCGACGGTTTATCCCAACAATCTGGGCGGGGTCTAAGTACGCGTGCGGCGTGACCCGTGAGAAAATCGAGGAGATGCTCGTAGTTGCCTACAATTGCACTGGACTCACGCAGGTACATCTATGGTCACTTGTTCAGGTCTTGGTTTGGACCACAGAAGATGCACCATGACCATGCAATTAGGACACTTGCGTCTTTATGATGAGTAAGAGGATCACTTATGATGAGTAAGAGGATCACTTGATCACAAAAGCGTAGAAATGGAGCAGCATCGTGTAGGAGCTGATATTATAATTACACAAACTAGTTCAGATTGTTTTTTTGTGCTGGTTGTAATTCCTTGATGTAGAATGGGCTAGCAGACGGGTTGTAAATAATCAGCACTTTTTCTTCATCTCAGGTCGGTTGCGATCAAAATGATCCGAGCCTGGTACTACGCCTTTTCGTAGCGCCTACCCCACGGAGCTGGTTGTTGTAGGCATTATTCATGAGAGATCATCGCTGAGTTCTTCCGTAGCATCGTTGATTTTTACCGTGCCGTAAGGTCGCGCGTGGCGAGCAACGCTGTGATCGTTGAGACTGGTCCGCCCAAGCTCTACTTCCGCACTTCGGCTACCATGAAAATCGCGGGCACCGAGAAGCGAACGGTGCAGTACGTGAAGGAACTACATCATGTCGCGAGTGAGACAAGAACCGCCTCCACACCTTCCCGGCATGTTGCTTTGGCACCTGCTTTCAAACAGATGGCTCGCGCCATGACTGCTATTGCCGGCCTCCGCTTGTTTGCTGAAAAACGTCCAGAGACGCACTACCGCAGCCTTTCAGCAAGGGGAAACTGGTACTGCCGGCGTCGACGGCCCAGTCTTTGTATTGTTTGATGCATTTTTAGGCCGTACCGAATTCAAAGACGACAATAAGACACATCAGATGGAAAAAGACTGAGCAGGGCGCTGCTCGAGGGCTCTATGCATGGCATCACAGAGGAAGGCAGCGATGAGCCTATGGGGATCCAACATCGAGAAGCGGAAGATGCCGAAGGTGAGCGTATCTTTGAAACGAATTCTCGCACTGGTTTTGTTACCCGAGCATTGATGTCGGTCGAGGAGGAAGCTCCTCACAACTAAAACTCTCCACATCAGTCCGTCGCAGCTTGTCACTTTTTCCCCGGTCAAGTGCTTCTATGGGAAAAACATGCTGTGTTTGACCCCTTCGCACCTGGGACTCTTGCCCCTCAAGGCTCTAGAAGTCCTTGTGCTCTTGCTGACACCGAAGCCGGACAGAAATACAAAAAGCATTTACTCGATTCTGTGGACAAATATGAGACGTATGCAGAAGCGTTGCTTGCCCTGACAAAGTGGGAAAATCAAGTGGCGCTTCAACGTCACCGTAGGAAGCTGTTGAGGTCAGGGCAGAGTAATCAAATGGTCAAATTCCTTACCTCAACTGTACGGGATTAAGTGGGTGAGATTTTTGAAGATCACAGCGGAGATGACGCCCTCCTCCAAAAGCAGAAAAAATACCTCGCAACTGTTTGGGAAAAATGCGGAGGAACTACGCTCTGGCTGAACTATGAAACCGGGAAAGAAGGCCTTTGTGCTCAGGAATTGTTTCACAACGAACTGGGTACAGCGATGGTTTTGTTCAGGGAAGTAAAGCAGCCCTCTATGAGGTTCTGGCTCAGAGAAAAGGCTGGGTCCAGCAGTATGACGAGCACAGGCGCGACTTCCACTTCTGGGTAAATAATAGTAGAAATGGATTGGGTTTTGACGTGTCGTCGGATAACGACTCGGAGATTTATCTCGGCTCAGATTCGCGGAGGCCATCTGACGGGAGGAAGCACAACTACGGTGTCCGTCGTGAATCCGCTACTACTAAGTAAAGTGTTAGCACGACTCCTGATGACGGTGTCCGTCGTGAATCCGCTACTACTAAGTAAGTGTTAGCACGACTCCTGATGACAACATGTCCTGTAGAAACGGTGACCATGTTCATGTTGACGATGCTGATGAGAAAAAGTCCTGGTCCTCGACATCGTCAGGGGATGCGTCTGCTTGGATGGTTACTGGAGATGTCGTGACTCCGTATTCTCCTCAGCGTCTAAATCCTATTGGTATCCCAGACTGCGAGGCTGCACTGCACAACAACATCGTATTGACCACGTCAGGCACAGCGACCAACGCAATGGGGAGGTCGGATATCCATATCATTGTGGAGCATGCAGGACTAAAGAAGGTGTATGACGTGACAGATTATACTTGCTGGAGCATCCCGGTGACGTGACTTATTCTCAGGAGTGTGCGGGCGTTGAGGTTTACTGCACACCAGAGAAAATCTTGCTTGCGCGTTGTGCCGGACCCTTTCAGCAACATCGTGCTGCTCAGGTATTTGCTGATTACGACTATTTATGTCAGGCGCGTCGACTACTAGTAAGCGCAAACATTTAGGAGTCAGCAATGCAAGGCGTGAAGCTTTTTTTTCACTGACATGCACCCGGAACAGATGACTGATATTTGTTCGTCTATAATCAATATTCAGGTAGGTGAAGCTCAGAGTAGAAGTAGCACATCGTCGAAGTCCGCTGTTAACCATAGACATCTTTTGCATTATGGCCATCAACACGCCTCCTATTTTTCAGCGCAATCACAAGTCAACTCTTCGAATATAAAAATTAATTGAAAATTTATCTCCACATCACAGGCTTCTGTCGCGGCTTGTTTCTATCAGCCTGCTGAAGTGCTCACGTGCAGGAAGCATGACATGCTAGCACCTTCCTTCGCGATTGGCTTAGGCTCCTCTTGCAATTGGTGAATTGGCTAGACAAGTATGAGAAGGCTTTGCTGGCGGGGGGGGAATGCATAGGGCTGGACGAGGAACGTCTGGGGCCGGATGGGGGACAAATGGGGCTGGGTGGGGGAGACTGGGGCATCAGCAAGCAGCTGTGAGTATGTAGTTTTTCCATTAGAGTAGGCGCGCAAGCGGGCAAGGATCGGACAGGAAACGAAAGTGCGCCAAATGTGGTCTCGTGTCTCTGTTTTGGTTGCCGCCACTGATTGCCGCCGCCTACTGCTTAGACGAGGGAACTGCCCACCGAATAAGAGCGGCAGATGCCAGGGGGCTGGTTCCTTCGTCTGCGGCGGGCGTGGGGTGGTCGCGTGGTTCTCGGTGGCGAAGGTGGAGGGGGCGGCCTCGCGAGTAAGGGCGTCCGGTGCCAGCGTGTGCCTCGCCTCCTCTGCCTTCATGCTAGAAATAGACTCTCACTCACGCCCCTACTACGTAGCTGATATAGACATCTATACAGTAACTTGCATCAAGGCAGCACAGCGATCGACAGAAGTAACAAACCAGAGAAGCTTGCGGCAATATCTCTCGGAGATCCTAACTTTTTAGACGAACTAGCAGCAGCCGGCATCCCACAAGTTGTCAATGTAATTGCTCTAGCTGGTTTTCTAGTTTTCTACCTGGTGTTTGTCAAGATCACGATGTCAACTCAAGTTGTAGTGCTGCATACTGTCATCAGAGGTGAGGTGGTGCCATGCTGTAGCTTTAAAGAGTAGCATCAAGCTTCTGCTCTTCTTCGCTTACCATCAACATTAGTCCGGCGCCCAGGCCCCGCGGTGGAGCACGAAGGACGGACTTCTGCTCTGCCCCTAAGCCGCTCTCTCCATAATGTGCTTGTTAGATCTAAGCTCAGTCGCTAGCCCATAATGGTGCACATATTCGAAGAGAAATCTATAACTTTTCTCGGAAAAAGCCCACACTTCTCCTACTCAGATACGAGAAGTAGACCCTCCCACTTACATAAGAAAAGTAGGACTGACAGAGTTGTAGTAGCATCAGAAGCCGTTGTATCTTCGTGGGTTGTAGTAATAGTTATAGAAGTTATAGTTATAGTTATAGTTATAGGTAGTTCCTCGCTCCGGTAAAAAAAGGCGTCGCAGCCGCTGCGCCCCCTTCGCCTTCCACAATACCAAAGACCATGGTTAGTGTTTAGCCTTAGGGCCGCTGTCTCCCGGGCACCTGGTCCCCCTTATGCTGAAACGAGATTGCGCTTTCCATATCCACTTACGCTGAAACTTAATTGCGCCTCATCTTCTTCATCTTCTTACTTTTACGATATGGTTGAACAGCAACAGAGGAACTGTATCACGCTTCCCCCTTATGCTGAAATTAGATCTCTCCCGGTACTTCAAGTGGGGCCCATGGGTATGGATAGTCACATGGTTGTGATAGTTAATATTGATCGTTCTGATAGTTAATAAATTGATGGTTCTGATGTTAAATTGATGGTTCTGATAGTTATTGATAATTCTGAGAGTAGTTATTGATGTAAACGTGGCTACCCTCAGATCCTAAACGTGTTGTAAAAAGAGGCTACCACGCCAGTACTTGCGTTTGCCACTATCATTAAGCCTAAAAATTCTCGAGAGTGACTGCCCGACTAAAATCTGTGTACTAGTTTGAGTTTGCTGCAATAGTTTTCCGATCCCGGACTTATCAAAATGTGTAAAAAACGGTTACCATGCCAGTCCTTGCGCTCGCCATCATTATGATTAACCTTGAAAATTCTCGTCGGGGACTGCCCTACTATAATCTGTGTACTAGTTTGGGTTTGCTGTAATAGTTTTCCGATCCCAGAGGACTAATCAAAACGTGTAAAAAAAGGTTACCATGCCAGTCCTTGCGTTCGCCGTTGATTAAGATTAGCCTTAAAAATTATCGTCAGTGACTGCCCCACTATAATCTGTGTACTAGTTTGGGCTTACTGCAATAGTTTTCCGATCCCATACTAATCAAAACGTGGAAAAAAGGGTTGCCATGCCAGCCCTTGCGTTCGCCATCATTAAGATTAACCTTAAAAGTTCTCGTCAATAACTGCCCCACTGTAGTCTCTCTGTGTACTAGTTTGGGTTTGCTGCAATAGTTTTTCGATCCCAGACTAATCAAAACGTGTAAAAAAGGCGCGTCGGTGTTGACGCCTCTATTATGTTGGGTTTGCTGCAATGGCTTTTCGCTCCCAGACTAATCAAAACGTGTAAAAAAGGCGCGTCGGTGTTGACGCCTCTATTATGTTGATCTGTGTCCTTCTAGTTTACTGCCCTTCTTCTAGTTTTCTTCGCGCACTAATTATTATATCCACCTTTCATCTAGTTCGCCGTTGTCACTTTGCCCCGTCCCATGCATGCAAAAAGAAAAAAAAAACCCCGGCCTTGCTTACCTCGCCCACCCCCCTCGGGCCTTTATTCCAAGGCCCCCCACTGTTCGAAAATGGCGCGGCGGCAAAGTGTGCCAGCTCGAAAAACGGCACTCAAAGGAGAGCAACACACAAAAAGGGCGCAGCTGGTCTAGAGTAACATGAAAAAAGAAAAGTGGTTTGGTACAGCATCCACTTGTGAAAATGAATGCAAATAGGGCCGAGAGATTATTTTTTTATTTCTTTTGCTTTTCAGGAAACATTTGACTGATGAAGCCTTTGCTTTTTATCACATAGGATAGCTGTTCATCATTTGATAATTGCGTTTCTTTGATGTGTGACTCATCTTTTTAGAAATTCGAATTACTTCCTCTCTCGAAATATCGACTGTTACTGTTTTCAATCATCTACATTTTTCAGTCATGTATCTATGTCTCATGTTCGTTCTCATCATCGATAGTCGGTCTCTACTCATCATTCATTGGCATTCATCGATAGTCTGTCTCTACTCGTCATTCATTGGCATTCATCGATATTAGTTTCTACTCTCATTCATCGATAGTCTCTTCGCTTTCCTCATGATTCATTGACACCTTTTTTCCTCGCTCTCATCATTGGTAGCTTTTCATCTTGTTCTTTCTCTCTCAAAAAATCAATCCAAATGCAGGCTGTACTCTTCTTCTTTCACATTCATCACGTTCTTCATTGAACGACGCTTTCTACGTACAACCAAAAACAATCAGGAATACTGATAGTCTCACAGGAATAGCCATTGATTATTAGTGTCGTGTTACGTGTACAAATCAAGTAGTATACTATAATAGAAGCAACGTATTTTTGAACACTATTAACTCCATGGCTTGGCTTTTGGTTTTTACCTATAAGAAAAGGTATGCGCGTTGCAATCACATTCGCGCGAAAAAATTCTTCCTATCGGCCTCGAGCACTAGCCTGAACCCCCCTCAGCTCAAAAAATGGGGGAGGCCTATCGATATGCGGAGGAATTACTCCGGTGGCGGTTTTTCATAATGCTGCGCTTTGGAGTAGTTTTAGAAAAACGCCTAGGTTTTGGATCCGGGTCCACTACTTGACATCACAAGGGTACTTTTTTTAGTGCTCTGGATCCATAAGCATTGACGCAGGTACTAAAGAGTGGCTTCATCTACGAAGTATACTAAATACTAAGTATGTAGCTCTAGTCAAGGTCAACAACTTATAGCTGATCACCGTCTACCGTCTACTTGTAGGTTTCACACATTATTGAGAAGCAGGTACAGGCACTCCTGCTCGCAATCAAAGTCTCACAAAACAAAGACCTATAATCTAAGTTTTGATTGATATCCCATCTCACCCTTAGACTCGATAGTACAATATCCTATCATCTAACAGCATTGTTAATTATATTGACTAAGAAACCGGGGAACAACTTTTTATTACCAAGGGAATGATCAGTGATTTAAGTTGGAGTGACTAAGGGAATGATAAGTGATTTAAGTTGTATATATAAGTGTCACCAATAAGTAATCTGAAAGCCATGACTTTGTCGTCGTTGTTCTACCCGACAATGTCTTTGGATCGACCGTCCCCGGCCTGCGGAGACGCTCTGTGTAACCTTAACGAGAGGACGCTGCTCTGTAACCTTAACGAGGGGACGCTGCTGTCTTTGGATCGACCGTCCCCGGCCTGCGGAGACGCTCTGTGTAACCTTAACGAGAGGACGCTGCTCTGTAACCTTAACGAGGGGACGCTGCTGTCTTTGGATCGACCGTCCCCGGCCTGCGGAGACGCTCTGTGTAACCTTAACGAGAGGACGCTGCTCTGTAACCTTAACGAGGGGACGCTGCTGTCTTTGGATCGACCGTCCCCGGCCTGCGGAGACGCTCTGTGTAACCTTAACGAGAGGACGCTGCTCTGTAACCTTAACGAGGGGACGCTGCTGCATAACCACAGCAGGAGCACGCGCACGCTGTAGTGCGTGGTGTACGAGAAGACGCTGCATGAAGACCGCAGCAAGAGTACGCCCTAGTGCGTGGTGTACGAGAGGACACTGGATGAAGACCGCAGTAAGACTATGCTCTGCTGTCGCCTGTACTACGAGAGTTCGCTGCAAGATCGCAGCGAGACTCCGCTCTGTCTGTCACCATACCGAGAGTGCGCTACGTTACCGCAGTGAGCCCTCGCGCGTCGCGTTATCGTCTAAGGGCCGCAACGTAAAAAGGCTTCATCACTCCAGGCGCTGCCTGGGCTTCTGCCGGGCTCTTCACGGACCGCGTGGCAGCTCTTTGCTGTCTTGATTGGTTGGCTCGGTTTGCCCGGGTGTTGTTTGGGTTGCTGCCGGGCTCTTCACGGACCGCGTGGCGGCTCTTTGCTGTCTTGGTTGGTTGGTTCGGTTTGTCTGGGTGTTGTTTGGGTTTCTGCCGGGCTCTTCGCGGACCGCGTGGCGGCTCTTTGCTGTCTTGGTTGGTTGGTTCGGTTTGTCCGGGTGTTGTTTGGGTTTCTGCCGGGCTCTTCACGGACCGCGTGGCGGCTCTTTGCTGTCTTGGTTGGTTGGTTCGGTTTGTCCGGGTGTTGTTTGGGTTTCTGCCGGGCTCTTCACGGACCGCGTGGCGGCTCTTTGCTGTCTTGGTTGGTTGGTTCGGTTTGTCCGGGTGTTGTTTGGGTTTCTGCCGGGCTCTTCACGGACCGCGTGGCGGCTCTTTGCTGTCTTGGTTGGTTGGTTCGGTTTGTCCGGGTGTTGTTTGGGTTTCTGCCGGGCTCTTCACGGACCGCGTGGCGGCTCTTTGCTGTCTTGGTTGGTTGGTTCGGTTTGTCCGGGTGTTGTTTGGGTTTCTGCCGGGCTCTTCACGGACCGCGTGGCGGCTCTTTGCTGTCTTGGTTGGTTGGTTCGGTTTGTCCGGGTGTTGTTTGGGTTTCTGCCGGGCTCTTCACGGACCGCGTGGCGGCTCTTTGCTGTCTTGGTTGGTTGGTTCGGTTTGTCCGGGTGTTGTTTGGGTTTCTGCCGGGCTCTTCACGGACCGCGTGGCGGCTCTTTGCTGTCTTGGTTGGTTGGTTCGGTTTGTCCGGGTGTTGTTTGGGTTTCTGCCGGGCTCTTCACGGACCGCGTGGCGGCTCTTTGCTGTCTTGGTTGGTTGGTTCGGTTTGTCCGGGTGTTGTTTGGGTTTCTGCCGGGCTCTTCACGGACCGCGTGGCGGCTCTTTGCTGTCTTGGTTGGTTGGTTCGGTTTGTCCGGGTGTTGTTTGGGTTTCTGCCGGGCTCTTCACGGACCGCGTGGCGGCTCTTTGCTGTCTTGGTTGGTTGGTTCGGTTTGTCCGGGTGTTGTTTGGGTTTCTGCCGGGCTCTTCACGGACCGCGTGGCGGCTCTTTGCTGTCTTGGTTGGTTGGTTCGGTTTGTCCGGGTGTTGTTTGGGTTTCTGCCGGGCTCTTCACGGACCGCGTGGCGGCTCTTTGCTGTCTTGGTTGGTTGGTTCGGTTTGTCCGGGTGTTGTTTGGGTTTCTGCCGGGCTCTTCACGGACCGCGTGGCGGCTCTTTGCTGTCTTGGTTGGTTGGTTCGGTTTGTCCGGGTGTTGTTTGGGTTTCTGCCGGGCTCTTCACGGACCGCGTGGCGGCTCTTTGCTGTCTTGGTTGGTTGGTTCGGTTTGTCCGGGTGTTGTTTGGGTTTCTGCCGGGCTCTTCACGGACCGCGTGGCGGCTCTTTGCTGTCTTGGTTGGTTGGTTCGGTTTGTCCGGGTGTTGTTTGGGTTTCTGCCGGGCTCTTCACGGACCGCGTGGCGGCTCTTTGCTGTCTTGGTTGGTTGGTTCGGTTTGTCCGGGTGTTGTTTGGGTTTCTGCCGGGCTCTTCACGGACCGCGTGGCGGCTCTTTGCTGTCTTGGTTGGTTGGTTCGGTTTGTCCGGGTGTTGTTTGGGTTTCTGCCGGGCTCTTCACGGACCGCGTGGCGGCTCTTTGCTGTCTTGGTTGGTTGGTTCGGTTTGTCCGGGTGTTGTTTGGGTTTCTGCCGGGCTCTTCACGGACCGCGTGGCGGCTCTTTGCTGTCTTGGTTGGTTGGTTCGGTTTGTCCGGGTGTTGTTTGGGTTTCTGCCGGGCTCTTCACGGACCGCGTGGCGGCTCTTTGCTGTCTTGGTTGGTTGGTTCGGTTTGTCCGGGTGTTGTTTGGGTTTCTGCCGGGCTCTTCACGGACCGCGTGGCGGCTCTTTGCTGTCTTGGTTGGTTGGTTCGGTTTGTCCGGGTGTTGTTTGGGTTTCTGCCGGGCTCTTCACGGACCGCGTGGCGGCTCTTTGCTGTCTTGGTTGGTTGGTTCGGTTTGTCCGGGTGTTGTTTGGGTTTCTGCCGGGCTCTTCACGGACCGCGTGGCGGCTCTTTGCTGTCTTGGTTGGTTGGTTCGGTTTGTCCGGGTGTTGTTTGGGTTTCTGCCGGGCTCTTCACGGACCGCGTGGCGGCTCTTTGCTGTCTTGGTTGGTTGGTTCGGTTTGTCCGGGTGTTGTTTGGGTTTCTGCCGGGCTCTTCACGGACCGCGTGGCGGCTCTTTGCTGTCTTGGTTGGTTGGTTCGGTTTGTCCGGGTGTTGTTTGGGTTTCTGCCGGGCTCTTCACGGACCGCGTGGCGGCTCTTTGCTGTCTTGGTTGGTTGGTTCGGTTTGTCCGGGTGTTGTTTGGGTTTCTGCCGGGCTCTTCACGGACCGCGTGGCGGCTCTTTGCTGTCTTGGTTGGTTGGTTCGGTTTGTCCGGGTGTTGTTTGGGTTTCTGCCGGGCTCTTCACGGACCGCGTGGCGGCTCTTTGCTGTCTTGGTTGGTTGGTTCGGTTTGTCCGGGTGTTGTTTGGGTTTCTGCCGGGCTCTTCACGGACCGCGTGGCGGCTCTTTGCTGTCTTGGTTGGTTGGTTCGGTTTGTCCGGGTGTTGTTTGGGTTTCTGCCGGGCTCTTCACGGACCGCGTGGCGGCTCTTTGCTGTCTTGGTTGGTTGGTTCGGTTTGTCCGGGTGTTGTTTGGGTTTCTGCCGGGCTCTTCACGGACCGCGTGGCGGCTCTTTGCTGTCTTGGTTGGTTGGTTCGGTTTGTCCGGGTGTTGTTTGGGTTTCTGCCGGGCTCTTCACGGACCGCGTGGCGGCTCTTTGCTGTCTTGGTTGGTTGGTTCGGTTTGTCCGGGTGTTGTTTGGGTTTCTGCCGGGCTCTTCACGGACCGCGTGGCGGCTCTTTGCTGTCTTGGTTGGTTGGTTCGGTTTGTCCGGGTGTTGTTTGGGTTTCTGCCGGGCTCTTCACGGACCGCGTGGCGGCTCTTTGCTGTCTTGGTTGGTTGGTTCGGTTTGTCCGGGTGTTGTTTGGGTTTCTGCCGGGCTCTTCACGGACCGCGTGGCGGCTCTTTGCTGTCTTGGTTGGTTGGTTCGGTTTGTCCGGGTGTTGTTTGGGTTTCTGCCGGGCTCTTCACGGACCGCGTGGCGGCTCTTTGCTGTCTTGGTTGGTTGGTTCGGTTTGTCCGGGTGTTGTTTGGGTTTCTGCCGGGCTCTTCACGGACCGCGTGGCGGCTCTTTGCTGTCTTGGTTGGTTGGTTCGGTTTGTCCGGGTGTTGTTTGGGTTTCTGCCGGGCTCTTCACGGACCGCGTGGCGGCTCTTTGCTGTCTTGGTTGGTTGGTTCGGTTTGTCCGGGTGTTGTTTGGGTTTCTGCCGGGCTCTTCACGGACCGCGTGGCGGCTCTTTGCTGTCTTGGTTGGTTGGTTCGGTTTGTCCGGGTGTTGTTTGGGTTTCTGCCGGGCTCTTCACGGACCGCGTGGCGGCTCTTTGCTGTCTTGGTTGGTTGGTTCGGTTTGTCCGGGTGTTGTTTGGGTTTCTGCCGGGCTCTTCACGGACCGCGTGGCGGCTCTTTGCTGTCTTGGTTGGTTGGTTCGGTTTGTCCGGGTGTTGTTTGGGTTTCTGCCGGGCTCTTCACGGACCGCGTGGCGGCTCTTTGCTGTCTTGGTTGGTTGGTTCGGTTTGTCCGGGTGTTGTTTGGGTTTCTGCCGGGCTCTTCACGGACCGCGTGGCGGCTCTTTGCTGTCTTGGTTGGTTGGTTCGGTTTGTCCGGGTGTTGTTTGGGTTTCTGCCGGGCTCTTCACGGACCGCGTGGCGGCTCTTTGCTGTCTTGGTTGGTTGGTTCGGTTTGTCCGGGTGTTGTTTGGGTTTCTGCCGGGCTCTTCACGGACCGCGTGGCGGCTCTTTGCTGTCTTGGTTGGTTGGTTCGGTTTGTCCGGGTGTTGTTTGGGTTTCTGCCGGGCTCTTCACGGACCGCGTGGCGGCTCTTTGCTGTCTTGGTTGGTTGGTTCGGTTTGTCCGGGTGTTGTTTGGGTTTCTGCCGGGCTCTTCACGGACCGCGTGGCGGCTCTTTGCTGTCTTGGTTGGTTGGTTCGGTTTGTCCGGGTGTTGTTTGGGTTTCTGCCGGGCTCTTCACGGACCGCGTGGCGGCTCTTTGCTGTCTTGGTTGGTTGGTTCGGTTTGTCCGGGTGTTGTTTGGGTTTCTGCCGGGCTCTTCACGGACCGCGTGGCGGCTCTTTGCTGTCTTGGTTGGTTGGTTCGGTTTGTCCGGGTGTTGTTTGGGTTTCTGCCGGGCTCTTCACGGACCGCGTGGCGGCTCTTTGCTGTCTTGGTTGGTTGGTTCGGTTTGTCCGGGTGTTGTTTGGGTTTCTGCCGGGCTCTTCACGGACCGCGTGGCGGCTCTTTGCTGTCTTGGTTGGTTGGTTCGGTTTGTCCGGGTGTTGTTTGGGTTTCTGCCAGGCTCTTCACGGACCGCGTGGCGGCTCTTTGCTGTCTTTGTTGGTTGCTTCGCTCTTTCGGTTTTGTTCGTTTTCGGGCTTCGTTTGTGTCTATCGCTTCCACTTTGCCCGCAGCCAAGCGAGATAAACATAAAAGGTTCATCTCGTGGCGTGATCGGGTAGTCACTCGAGATCAGGTAGTGGCGCCCATTGATTGCGGTATCCAGCCCCAGCGGCGGTAGGCGATATGTGTAGCGTGGCCTCCGACTGCCCATATCACGTCTGCTGTACGTACATTTTGATTTGTCTGTCATTCATCTCGCAGTCGCAATGTGGCGACATTCGTTCCAGCGTTTCTCGTTAGCGAACAGAGAGAGGTATGTAAAGATCTTTGCGCCTAAGCCTGTCCACTCCCAGAGGTCCTCGTCGTCGTGTGATCAAATGTATGAGAGTTTGGTGTCATCGGTGATATTTCAATCTTCCTTTCCATCAGCCTGTCATGCCAGGAGAAGTCGTTTCTGTGTCTTTGTGGCGAAAGTTTTCGTTTGTATATCATACAGGGTTGCCTGAGTCTCGGCGGCATATGGCTGTGAGAGTGATCGTAAATCGTTTCAATTGTATTGTCGGTTTGACAAGTACTATTTTCCCATTCACTAGCCGCATATGCAAATTGAAATACGTAGATTTTTTTGAGTTCACTCGCTCGTACAGCAATATAATGTTGAAAGTCATCTTCTCGCTGTTCGTGGCAGGAGTCACGGCTGTTCCGTTTTCTCTGCCGCAAGAGCTCGTCATGGACCTCAACAAGCCCGCGCAGAATACGATCAACATCATTGCAGATGCAGCATCTTTTCTGAGGTCTCCGATTGAGGCGAGCGTGAAAGCCGTGCATGCTCAGGAATCCGATGCTATGATCAAAGATACTATTTCGCGCGCGTGGAAAGCCGCTGCGGTTGCCGAAGGACTGCCGGCAGATGAGTTTGCGTGCTTTCGTGACTATTCAGGAGCCCCTGCCGGCTGCGGCGACTTCAGTGGAATGACGCCGGCTGAGAAAGCCACTGCAGCCGCCGCGTGTGGAGCTAAGTTTCCGTGCGCCTAAAAAAGGGCTCAGGCAGCCGAGATTTCTTAAAATAATGTTGTATCTTTTCATCATCTGCTTCGCGAGTCTTATAATTGACTTTGATATGTGAGGTATACATTCGTGTTCGAATTCGATCGGTCTCTCGACAGCGGAAAGTGAGTATAGTAGAGTTAGTTTGGCATTGACACTCCATCGCAGAATACCATCTCGAGATTTGAATGTTTTCACGTGTCGCGACATCATGAGACTAATCTGAATGGCATCAAACAAAGTAACGCTTCTATATTATCCTTTCTAGTCCACACTTTACTTTTTTTGCAAACGAACTGCGAGACCATGCGAGTGTCAAGCATCTTCCTGGCTTGCGCTGTCGGCGTGTCTGCCGAGTTGCAAAAGAGCGATGCCGAGGCCGCTCTTGAGCAGGCATACTCTGGGTTGATTTCGTCCTTCAACACGGAGGACTATGCTACCCAAGCACAGGCGATCTCTTTTTTAGCCCGCTCTCCGGCTTTCCAGGCTAAAATGGCTGCCATGCCTCAGTGCGATTTTGGTGCGGCTGAAGGCGCTGCTGCGAAGAAAGGCGTGTCTGCGTACCCAGGTGGCATCGTCGCCCGTTTGTTTGGCTCAGATCTCAGCTCCTTGGTCGCCAAGATGGCCCCGCAGGGTCGCGGTGCCGCGGAGGTCTTGGCCGCCAACGGCCTGGCCACTGGCGCAGGCCTCGTTCAAAGCGCTATGTCAGCCCTGCTCAACGTTGCTCCTCCGCTCATTGGTGCACCGGTGTGGATCAATCAGCCGCTTCCATGCATGCCTTTGGCAACGGCCTCGAACTGTGGAGGAAGCGTTCTGTACCCGATCACTGCCAGCGACTTCGCTATGGCAGATGTTACGGATAGACAGTTGGATGGTACCATTGCTGACTTTCCTCGCTTTTACCGCAGCACTGTCGGTAAGACCAGCGACGCTGCCTACAAGGCCTGCTTTGCAGCTTACATGGGAATGCAGTGCGCTTCCGTCTTCCCGCGTTGCGCAGTGCCGATGGCACGCGAAGAGCCAAGTCCAATGGGAAGACTGCCATTGTGCTTCACCAGCTGCTTGCTGACGATGACGGCGTGCCCAGGAATGTGGATTTCGGATATGAAGGACGAATGCAGCATGGTCAGCGCTCCGCCGGCGTGCTCCATGGCAATTTTTCACAACTTCCAGTTGCTCCCGCCGCAGTACGAGTCCTTCGAGGAAACGATCGGTGCCCCGACCGAGTGCCCTCAAATGCCGGCCGTTGCGTCTCAGTTGGGTCTTGGAGCAGACAGTGACGTGTACACGCTTGGTGGTGCCTCCTCTGGTGCTTACAGCAGTGGAGGAGCTTTGCCGCATGCATAATCCTTTTGGGAGCCTGCGACTTTTTGAATCCCGTTGTCAGCATGTTTGAGTATCTGCAACAGTAGACCTTCCATTCTAAGTAATCGTTCTTGGGAAAGTGATAGAGGTGTTCCTAATCTCGCTCGGGCGTAAAGCTACTCGGGCGAATAATCTCATCGTGCGATTGATTTTGGTTTTGTTTTGGTATGAAATTGTCCATGATAATCTTCTGCTGAATACTATTTTTATCGCAAGATTCCAACACAGTAAGTCTTTTTTTGCATCCTACAGCATCAACAATGCGCGTCTACTTGTATTCCGCTCTTGTTGGCGCGGCAGCCGCTAACGGAGCTAGCGATGCCGTTCTCGCAATCGTAAACTCCCTTTCTCGAGGGTCTCCCGCCCCTGCTGCTGCAGTAGCGCCTCCTACTAACGAAAAAGTGGTAGAAATCCAGAAGGCCTTGACAGAGGGCGCCATGGCTTTTGCGCAGGCTTCTGCCTTTGCGCAGTCTGCTGGTCTTAGTGAAGGAGCTGCGGCTGCGTCGGGACTGGGTGGAGCGCCGGTCTCCGGATCGAGTACGGGGGCAGCATCGTTTCTTTCTCGAGGCTTGGACTCTACGCAGATGATGGCGATTGCTAGCAACGTTATGGGCTCGGTTAAGGTGAAGTCTGCTCGTTCTTGCGGCACTGGAATCCCGAGTGGTGCTTGCCCTAAGTCTTGGTCGGCAGGCGCAAACGGAGTCTGCACACCGACGGCAGGCGGATCTTACACAGGCTACTGCGCTGGAATTCCAATGGGCCTCTCCGCTGTCGAAGCTGAAGAAATGGAAATCTTCTGTGGCGTTTGCTATATGTAGCTGCATTGATTGCCAACGACACATTGATTGCCAACGGATCTGTCAATGTTCTGCAAGTTTGAAGAGACATTCTTTCGCCATCGTAACTAGCGATTTGCTGGATTGGAGGATTCGAGCGTCTGCCTGTTTGTGTTTTTTAATTAAGTCAATCGATCGTACAAATCCAATGACGCTATCACTTTACCTATGTCTTAGCTTCTCTCTGATCATGTGCGACTCGTTGAATATTTCTCCTCTCAATCCCAATATCCACAGCTTTTTTTCTTCTATTCTCAACAAGATGCAGCGTGTTGGATCTCTGCTTGTGACCCTCTTCGCGGTCACCGACGCTGCGGCACCCCTTCGGGTAAAGGTAGCTGGTGCAAATCACTATGCCGCAGGTGCGAAGGATATCGCTGCGCTGGAGAGCCGCGTGGTAAACTTCATGGCCGCTACCATGAGCAAGGGCAGCTTTCTTCAGGGCAAAGGCGGCATGGCTACACCGGGTAGCGGCGTGAAGCACGCGCTTTTTCTGACGCAGCCAATGAGGTCTCCCAGTGGAGTGAAAATCAACGTTGTGGAGAAAAAGCCGGAAGCTACTGCATCGGCAGCTGCCGACGCACAACAGGCGGCATTCAATATGGAAGCCTTTGTCGCTGGACTGTCTGACCTTGCGGGTTCCGGTCGCGCATCCTTTGTCGCTTCCGACTCTCTTGAGGGACTGGTCAACCGGGGTACTATGGCGCGAGTTGCAACGCTGGGTGCGTATCAAACGATTTCGATGCCCGTCCATGTGCTGGCGGCGGTCGTGAAGAGCGCGTGCGGATGCGTGGATGTGTACACCGAATCCAAGTGCCTGTTGGCAGCTAATCCAGTGTGCCCCCCGTTGCACAGCCTTTTGCAGCGTGCTTTCGCCATGCAGGAGCAGGTGTGGAATGGCGTCAAGTTTACGACTGATAAGGCAGGCAAGGTTGTTGGAAGCCCCCTCATTGCCAGCCCCCCGTAATTGATCACGGATAAAAGCAAAAGACACTCTGCAGCTTGGTGTAGTGTAAATGCATGAATCGTAAACTTCCGTTGCTTTCGGCTGAGCTGAGAAAAGCAAATGATCTCTGATAGACTTTCGGTTTCGCTTTCGGTAGATCGATGGTGGAATTGATACGTTATAATATCGACGCATATTGATCCTTAAGTACCGAAGGAAGGGAAGTAAGCTGTATGAAAATAATTGGCATGTTCTTTCTTATGAAAAACAGTCAAGTTTTTGTTCTCGCTACCTCGTTCAAAAAATGAAGTATTTCGCTGTTGCAGTGTGCGCGATTGTCGGCGCGGAAGCCGCAAAGCCAAGCTTCGCCACAGGGCAGGCATTGGGCGCTGCTCTTTCGGAAGCGATTTCTTCCGGCGAAGGATCGAAAATTTCTGCTGCGCTGCTCGCCGGCCAGAGTTTTCTCAAGCGCCCCTCTACGCTTAACTTGCATGTCGGAGAGACCGCGCAGACTAGCTCGTCCGACCGTGCTGCAACGGCGTCGGCGCTAATGGCGCTGGAGTCAGGCGAGGCCCGTCTTTTGGAGACTCTCAGTCAAAAAAGCTCTTTCATCCAATCGCCCCTCAGTGATTTACAGCGATTGGGAGCAGAGGCCGCTGTGTTCAAAGACGCTCTCACTTACTACGGCGGACTCGTGGACGCTGGCGACCGCCGGGGTCTTGTCGGTCTTTTGCAACTGGCCAGTTTGCCGAACGCACGCGTCCCCATGGCGACAGTTCTCTTTAAATGCACTCAGTTCGCGAAGAAAGAAAGCACGTCTGACGCCGATCGTGAACTTGCTGGCTCTATCATCACTTACCTGACCAACATGCCGGTGGCTTTCCAGTCCAGTGATGCAGCGTCCGGTTCGTACGGCCATACCAACATCGTGCTACCAGCTCCAAGCCGCGTCTATGGCCACTAGGTGGTGAAGCTCTGACGCGACCACAGAAAGCAGTATGAGATCCTAACGACAATTCGGAGATCCTGCATCATAATTAGCTTGAAATAAAGAACTTGAATTTCAATTTCTCGCCGTGCTGTTTCTGTTCTCAGGTTTGAGCCTGTTTCGTCATCGTCTCTCAAGAATCGTCGTATGGAAAGCTGCGAGCGCGTGATGAGCTTATCTTTACCGGGTATGCCTATGAATCAAAAGTACTGACTCTTGCATCAATTCATGTTTGGCATTCTAAATAGACCTCACTAGCCTTTTTTTTTCAACGTGTGCAAACGCAAAGATGATGCGAAGTAGCCTGCTGCTCTTCGTGCTGGGCTTGATCATGCCTGCAGTGGCCTTCAAAGACATCAGCAGCCACTCCGGTGCTGGCCCTGTCGAGGTCATCACAGTCGCGACAGAAAGTGGCGTTCCCGATGCTCTTGCTGCGCGAAGATATGCCGAAGCTCGCCGAGCCGAATCAGCCGCATTGGCTGCTGTGGCAAGTACTCGCTCGAGGGCTTACCGCAACCTGGAGCAAATGCTGACCACAGAGCGTCTCTCTGCAGCACAGCTCGGCTGATCCCATGAGCCGGATCCACATTCATAGATACTATGATCTTTCCGTCGACAACAAAGAGATGAAGTAAAAATATGCGAAGCTAGAGGATTACCAATTTCGTTTTTTCACTTCGAGTGTTCACCTACTGATTCAAAAATAGTGTCGTCTTCGATTTCAACTTCACAGCGTCAGCGGCTTTCCTTGGTTTTACAGTCATGACTCCAAGAAAAGCGGTCTTACATCAAACCTAGTTTTTCTTTCTTTTAACACCTAACGAAAATGACTTTGAAGTCACTGTGCGCCATCGCCTTGGGCTCTTACGCCGTGGCTGAAGGTGCCAAGCCGGTCGTCGAATTGTCGATTGCCTCCGCCTCGACCCCCTTCCCGGCTGTTTCCGATGCTATCGCTAGCGCGGAGTCCTCGCGTGCAGCTGCCCTTCGACAGGCGTCGGCTGAGGTCGATCAGGCATACAAGGAGACCCTTGGGCAGGCCTCGGTAACGCTTGGCAACACGATTGCGAAAGCGCTGGGGCGAACGTCATTCGCAAATATTGCTGAGCCAACTATCTCGGTTTCTCTTGCCAAATCTGCTTCCGATGAAGCTGCAGGCGCCTCGGCCGTGAAAAGTGTGGAGGGAAAGCGCGCGGGTGCTGCGGCTGCTCTTGTCGCGTCCGCAAAGAAGGAGTTCCAGGAGGTCGCGAAGGTTGTGATTGCAGAGTTCGAACGCCAGGTCAAAGGGAAGGCGAGCTTTTTGCGTTTTTCCCGTGAGATTAACGTCCGCGCAGTCGCTGATCCGAGTTATGCGACAATTTCGGGTTTGATCCAGGGAATGGAATCACGCCGAGATTCCGAGGAAGCTCGCCTGCGCAGTCAAATTCTTCTTCGCGAGCTCGACTTGGTCCGCGCGCTCAACCGAGTTGGCGCTTCCGCCTTGTCTAAGTAAGTAATCGGCCAGCTCGACGGGGTCATGAAATGAAAAGCGATTGTGTAGTGATGAAAATCGAGCGTTAAGAAGAAGATAGATGGCCTTGGTGATTTGGGCAAATTGTGGTCGCTGTTCGTATTGAGACTGACTCGTGAGGAAATAATGATAATATCGTTCATGATATCCATATGGAATGCAACATCAATCTCAACTGGAAATTGTCGAGGCTTGTCAATCAATGAAATTGATGGAATTTTTTCTTTTCGAGTAGAGGAAAGTTTTTGTTTGTCATCTGCAAAACCAAAAGTATGTTCGTTCGTGTAGCGACCTGCGCTGCTCTCCTCGGAGCACATGGCGTTTTCGCTGATTCAGAGCCGCTGATTGAGGTGGCGTTGGCTCCACCGGTGGGAGGCTCCGCGGGCTTTGCAAACTTCGCAAAGCAAGAAGCATCGATGGAGGCATCGGCCCTGCAGTCGCTGTCGGGTGCATACCAGAGCGCGATCGCCTCTGCCAAACAGCAGATCGATGCTGCAGTCAAGGGTTCTTTTCTGCAGAAGAGGTCCGATGAGATCTTCGTGCGTGTGCTTGATGCCCCGGCACCTGCAAGTCTTGGACGCGCAGAGGCTATGGAGGGAATGCGCCAGAAGATGGAAAGCGCCTCTATCGCACAGGCTATGAGCGAATTCGATAGCTTAACGAAGGTGGTCGTTGGCGAGTTGCACAACGCTCTCCACAGCAGCTTCTTGCGTGGAGGTCAGATTGGCGTCAAAGTCAAGGCATCGGACATTCCCTTCGCCAGCACCCTGGACTTGCTGCGAGCACAGGAGACTGGCCGCGATATGTCTGAGGAGAAGTTGCAGTCGAAGGTCCTGGACATGCAGATCGCGTTTGTGAAGACGCTCAACGGCATGATTGCAGCTGCTCTCGCGTAATTCTCGCTGGGACAGATGATGGGACCATGATGGATTCTATGACCGATAGTGTGAGACTCTGGACAATCGATAATGAGAGACTCTGGTTCTAACTGCAGCATGAGCTAAGTCACGCGTATTCTTTGTCATGTTCGTCGGTATTTTTCAAGTGTTCGTAAACTCGTACAAACGTTGCTAAGTATTTATTATGAATGACAAATATTTGAAGGTTACAAACAAAATATTCTGCAAATAAATCTGACTAGTATTTTTTTTTGCATTAAATAATTCACAGACAAGATGTTCCTGCGAGCATTGGTTGCAATGATCGGAGCCGTGCTCCTCATGAGTGTGAATGCCCAGAGGGATCCCACACTTGACGATATTGCTACTGCAGCTGCGGCATACCGCCAGGCCGGACAGGCATATTTGCAAGCGAGCAAGAGCGCTGCAGAAGCTGCTGCCGCGGGGGCGGGTTGCGTAAGAGATGAGACAACTGGTGCCTGCACGTCTTTCCTCAAGTCCCGTTCTCCTATTGCCGGCGGCGTGATGCGTGGACTCATCGCGCGAGTCATGGGGGCCGATGCTGCTGATACCCCTGAGCGTCTGACGCAATCTCCGATCGTGCAGATGCACTTGCACGCTTGATAGGTGCATTGCCGAATCGGGTCTAGTGACTTCGTTGATATCTCGTAGTTGCCGCTGCCGAGCGTTTATTGTTGCAATAAGGATTGACATTGATATGTCGAGAGTATCGCCATAATGATGTATGCTATGTGAGAATGTCGTGTTCTAATGCTACGCTTATGGTCATTGAAGACCGAGTAAAGCGTGAGATCCCACCTACTTCGCATCGTTTCGTAATCGGCAGTTAGTCGAGTGACTTTCAATCTTCAACCTTACGCTGAATGACAAATTTCTAGCTAATCTGTTTTTCAAAACACGAAAAAATGATGCGCATCTTGGGACTCTGCTGCCTTTTCGGAAGCGCTGCAGCTTCAGTTTATCCAGGGAATACGGCTGCTGCGGCAGGTGTTATCACCAGTGCATTAAAGAGTGCTGCGTCAGCCTCCGCTGGCAACGGTGCGGCTGCCGAAGCGAAAATGATTGCCGCGTCAAGTCAGGCACTTGCGGAGTCCGTTTCTTCCGCTATGAGCCTCGACGCCCTCAAAAAAGACGCCTTTATCATGGCCCATGTTTCAGCACGCAAGTTTCTCGCTACCGGTGGCTGTGCGCGGGACTTCTCCGGGTGCCCCGCAGGATACGTTGCGGACGCCGGTAGCTGTGCCCCTGGTATGTACGACGGACCGTGCGGCGCTTTTAGCGCATCTATGGATGCCGCGACAAAGGCGGAATGGAGCTGGAAGTGTGGCGCCAGCTGGCCTTGTGCCTAATTTGTCTGGTGGCCAGACAATTGTGATGTTTAAACTCTAGTATTTGGAAGTCCTCACTCACAAATGCTCGCCTGATTCAATTTCTAACGCCTCTCGGACTTAGCTGTTCTCCCACGATTGACTGTATGATCGATTCGTCGTTTCGCTCATGGTAGTCTCATCATTTTCGATCCATAAAAGTACATCATCAAATCAAATACGCATGTCTATCAAAAGATTAGGTTTTTTTCGAAACTCAGCAACAAGAATGGGTGTCCGAGCTTTCTCTGCGTTCGTTGCTCTGGCGCTAGGCGCGCGCCACGCCGCTGCGTACACAGCGAGCAACTCTCCCTACATGCCTGGTAACTGGAATCTTCCGGCCGCAGGCACTGAGGTATTCGGCGCTGATGTTGCGAAATCGCTTCCGGAAATCTATGTTCGTTTTCAGCTTCCAGAAGTGTCTGCGCAAGCGCTTGCCGCCGATGTGGAAAGCGCAAGTGAGATTGACTCGCGGATCCATGCGATCGCCCAGGAGCTCGCAGCAGACAAGAATTTGATTGGCATGATGGCACCGTCCTCATTTTTGCGTAGGGGTGACGCCGATATTTTTGCAGCTTTGAACTCCGTCAAAGGAGGATCCGGCTCGGGCGGCTTTCCAGGTATGGATGCTTGGAGTGAGTTCATGGAAGGTGTAGCGCACTCCCCCCGGCCACATGTGTCTCAAGCGGCTGCCGCTTCTGGCTGCTGTTAGAATTTCATTGAGGCAGTTCTGACAACGTACTTCTAGTAGCGCACTGTCTGGATCTATGTCTATGAAGAGATTTTGTATGCTTTTGCAGTCTTGAGAACAAATTGTGTTTCGAGCTACAGGGCCAGCCCCATTCGTCGTGATCGAAGTAGATTCCTATGTATTGAGCACTCGTTCACGAAATTGATCTTCGAGACTAAAAAGAATGCGCTTCCTTGGGTTCCATTCTATCAACTCTTCTATTCCGTGAATACTAGTGACCCTATTTGTTTCTTTCGTCGCTTTCAATCTCCCTAGAAAGATGTTGACCTCTCGTCTTTTCGTCGCTGCCTGCTTGGCATCGTCCGTTGAGGCGGTCCGCATGAGCGCTATCCCAGACCCTCTCTCTATCTTGCCCCCAGGAGTTGCGGGAGGTATTGCTGCGGCAGTTTCGGACGAAACCCCGTATATTTTGAATTTGATGCCTCCGACGGAAGACGGTGCGGCCATGAACGGCCTCATAGACTCTTTTGCGGGTATCGAGAAGTCTCACGAGCAAGCTATTGAGGCGCAGGCAGTTGCAGACAAGCAGCGTCTTCTCGCTGCTGAATTGCAGAAAGTGAGAAGCATCGTCGCGGCAAAGCACTCCGCTTTCCTCATGACTCCCCTTGCGCCGAAGGCTGACCACGCCTTTGTGTTGCATGCTCCCTCAGAATCTGCCTCTGACATTTCTGGTGCGGTTAACTCGATCATGAAAGTCGAGACGGCGATTGCACAGCAAGCGGAAAGCGGTGCCGCTGCCATGAAGAAAGCGCTGCTTGCTCACGAAATCGCAGCTATCGGCTCAATCGTGCGTGGGGCCGCTCATTAGTTTTGTGAACATCACACACTGACTCCTCGTATGCGTGAATGAAGATCACGAATTGTCGGCTTTTATCGAGCGGAATTATCGGCTTTTAACTAGGTGCATCTGGTCTCGTGTTCTACTCGCCGTTGTTGTGACATTATTGCTCTATTCTACTACTACTTATGCGTTTGACCTCTACCGTTTTGGCCTTCATGCTAATAATGCTTCACACTTCTAACAACGAAACTTGCAGACTCTCAAATTTTTTTTCGTCCACTGACGCGTAAAAACCCAAAAGAAGATGTCGTGCAAAGCTGTTATCATCTCCCTGGTCGCAGGTGTCGCGGCTCTCGAGCCTTTCGTCCCGCCAATCGCAGTCCAAGATGTCATGCAGGCCAGTCTTCCTGGAGTGATCGACATTCATTACGATGTCCCAGCCGGCTTAGAGGCACGCAAGGGCGCATCAGACGCCCAATCTGCATTGTACGGACGCACGTCGTTCTTGAAAAAAGGCACGACTGATGTATACTTCGAGAAGCCAGCGTCCGCCGCGACGCTTGAGCAGAGTTACCAAGCCTTGCTCTCTCAGGTGAAGTCCAATATCAAAGCGAAGTTCGACGCTATGACTGGTGCGTCATTCTTAGCAACCTCTCCGTCTGTCAATGTGTTTGTGGGAGAAGGAAAGGGCATGAATGTCGACATGGCACGATTGACCATGGATGCCTACGCATATGCTGGTGAGCTTATTGCCGGTGCTCGCGCAAGTTTCTTGGCCGGTGACGACGTGCCACACCCTCTTCCGGTGCTGAACATTGACGTGACAACGCCAGCTTTTGTTTCGTCTGAGGCGACGACACTGTCGCAGGCACAGGCTGCCGCGGTTGCCAAGCTGCAAACTGAGCTGAATGGCTTGAGCCACTAGACAGATTCATTGAGGGTTTTCTGTGCTGCTGACTGAAAGATGTGATAGCTTCAAGCTTGATATGAAAGTGAAACAAATACCCTGTGCCTCGAAGGCGTGCCTGTCGTGACGAATGCTCGACGTGTTCGTGCTCCTTGCCTGCGCTTGCACGCGACTGATCGGTGAAGGCTTTTGTACTATTCAGATCTTTGAGCTTGATCCTAGCGTTCAAATGTGGAGTGGCTGGTCATCAAGGGGTGGCTGACGGCTGATCATCAAAGAGTAGCTGACCGCGAAGCAGGACTAATTACTCAAAGAGTGAATAAACAGGTATTCTTATTTTCCAATTACGCCGCCTGTGCACCAGCGCCGTCGTTATCTAAGAAAGCAGGACGGCCGAAAAAACCTCAAAAAACATTTCTTTGTGGTTCTTCGACCTTTCTGCATCCCAGTCACCGACCTTTCCGTAGCCTAAACTGCAGCTTCCCTAGAAGAGCTCAGCTGTTTTTGAATTTTGATAGGATTCATTCTGAGATTAAGTACATCCTTTCCTGGATGAGCCGTTTTAATAGCAATGTAGTGAGATAAAAACCTCTTCATGAGCCCCCGCACTCATGAGCGAAGGCAGGACGGCCGAAAAAACCGCAAAAGACACCCGCGGTTTTTCGAGCTTTTTCGGCCGTCCTGCAATTTTGGGCTTCCCGTACTTTCGTAACCGATGTTTCTATTCGCTTTTCGAGGCATCCCAAGTGACAAACTCGGCATGAAGATTACATTAGGTATTCTAATAGCAATGTGAGATTTAGAGCTCTTCATGAGCCGCACTTATGGGCGAATGCAGGACGGCCCAAAAAACCACAAAAAACGATTGTGCTTTTTCGAGATTTTTCAGCCGTCCAGCAATGTTTACCTTCCCGTACATTCGTAACCGATGTGCCGGTGGTTTTCGCCTGGAGAGACACTGGGGTCAACCTTCCCATCTTTTCCGAAGCGGGTTGCGATTCTTTTCAGAAGACGTTGATATTCTTCTTCTTGGACTCGGCCGACCGGATGGAAGATCAGGCGAGTCCTGCAGGGTAGATCTGGAGGATCCTCTTTTCTCCTTTCCAGATTAGGATAACTACGATGTCGCTTCGTATTCTTAAGGGAATCTTTTCGCGCAGGCATTTATAATGGTAGATCCGTATCCTCAAGATGAACGAAATCCCATCACAAGATTCACAACTAGAGTCGTCGGCTGATGTAAGTGTGTCTCGAATCTCAAACGCATCCCCTGCCTAAGAATCAGCATGATATCGCGCCTTTACCCCAATTCGCGCCTTTACCCCAATTCGCGCCTTTACCCCATATTCGCTCTCGTAGTATTGAAGCATCGGCAAAATCTGAAATTCAAAGGTATAAAAGTGTGAGGAGATTTATCTCTTACCTTTTCAGATCTTTCCATCTCCTTTATCACTTGCTTCTTATAATATTGAGAATATCGAGTGAAAAAATCTTTGGCATTTTTCCATAGATATCTTCAAGCATCATAATCATAAACATACTCCTTCTAGCCCTTCATCCAAATCATCTTCTTCTTCTTCAGCTCCTCTACCGTTTGGTCCTTGCGGACCCTTCTCTCTTGTTTCTCTGTCTTTGGTGATTCCGCGTTGCGTGCGTACCCTTAGTGTATCGCGTGTTTTGCTGTCCAGCGTGCAGTAGTGGTTTTCCTGCCGAATTGCCTGCCGTGTTGTTTCGTTGGGCTGTTCCAGCCTGGCCTAGTCCACGAGTGCCACATGGTCTTGTGGGTACTCGTTACAGACGAGAGACTGCACTTGTAAGGGAAAGAATGATGCCAAGTGGACGAATGACTTGATGAACAAGTCAAGAAAGTAAAACTAATTCTTTGGATGCAACTCCAAATAAGATTCTGTATTTACTGATGAGAAGCACGACTGATGAACAACAACAAATACACGATGTTAAAGCATTAAAAAACGCTAAGAAGTACAAGATGTTATACCAACAAGTACAAAATATTACTGAAAGAAGTACAAGAAAATGTTACTACAGCAACAAGTCGAAGAAAATGTTACAACTAATGACATTGAGGAGGAATACAACCGACCAAACACACACCCAGAGTGCTGGGTCCAACTCCTCAGATTCAGGGTCCTCTCATTGGGTACAAAGAGTTTGGAGTGTCGTGCGTATGCTCGACGTGGATGATAATATTGGAATTGAATATTTGATCGTTTCCGTCAGCGTCACGGTTAGTTGTACCTACGTGCTGGTGAGAAGAAGAAATCGAGACGAGGACGGAACAAAGCTCTGCTAAAGGCATCTACTCGATGTAATATCATGATCGTATCCTCAACACGGAAGTCGGTAGTTCACAAGATCACAACTCCGGAAAGAGAGCCAACTTGTAAAATGATCTAATGTCTTCGACATCTGTCGTGATTCAGTCACACAAGCTGTCAAGGAGAAGGCTATCAAATACATAAATAAACATGAAGCGAAGATGTTGCAAGACAAGTGAACGAGTGCGAGGCCTCCCCTGGTCACAGAGAGGCGAACCTTTTCCTCCTACTTCTTCCTTGTTGATGTTGTATTAGTACTGAAAAGATGCGGCTTTTGTCTTTGCTCATAGTTGCAGTTGTGCACTTTGTGGAGTACTAGTAGAGCTGCAATTAATTTCTGCTTAGCTTAAGTAGCTCGAAGTACTCGAACTTACTGATAAAAATGATCTTCGTAATTACCTTGCCTCTCCCTTACACGTGCATGAGCATGATTGGGTACTTGTAATTTTATCTATCGACAAGAATCAGGTACGTGGTAGGATGTAGTGTAAGAGTAGACTGACTGGGCTCATGATCATGTACTTGAAATAATGAAGAAGCGCTATTTCTTTACTCGTCGAACTGGACTAGAAGTATCAAATACACATAAAGCAAAGGCGACGAAGGCCTCTTCTGGTCGAGTCGAAGAGAGGTCTGTCCTATTTGACAAGAAGCGTGTCGCCCTTCTTGTAGTGATAGTGCTACCCTTGGACTAGAGGTATCAAATACACATGAAGCAAAGGTGACGAAGGCCTCTTCTGGTCGAGCCGAAGAGAGGTCTATCCTATTTGACAAGAAGCGTGTCGCCCTTCTTGTAGTGATAGTGCTACCCTTGTTGTAACCCCTAAAAAGCGGCTTTGAGTATATAGTTTGGCTCTAACTTTCTTCATCCACAGGTCATCTTAAATTGACAAGCTATTCTTACTTAGTTTACTAGCTCTTTGGAGTGGTTCCCCAGGGGCAGGGGTCAACGGAATTTCAAAACATTTGCTAGAACAATGAACTGCAGGTGAATGCGCAAGAAAAGCAAACAGATGCTTCGCCAAAATAAATGTGAAATAGCATCAGTCTCGTCTTCTGGACGAAATGCAAGGTCAAAATTCAAAATCCAGAATTCAAAATCAAAATTTAAA